TTGTTTAAAAAAGATTTGTTCTGTTTTCCGCGCTGTGAAAAAAAAAACGAGGAGATATATTACTGTAGATATTACTGATGCCGACTATATTGAAGCGTCATCGAACTCAAAATCAACTTCCTTTTAACGGCTGCGTTAAACCTACAAATACTTATAACGCATCTTAAAAGGCAAAAGTCAGAAATTCAATTTAAAAGCAAGTTTATCAACCTGTCGCCAAAATTGATCGTTTTACTATAAACTCACTTTATGGATATATTCTGATTGTTTTATGTGCTCTGGTGCCTTTCAGCAACATCATAATGTAGGATGTGATTCTTCATTAAATGTGAAATCTTCCTCGTATTAATGTCATGTTTCAATTGATCACTGAGGAAATGCTTCAGGATTAACGGAGAAAACGGAAGCCGTAAATATTGAATGCAAACTCGGGTGAAAAATAACGAGTGCGTCTAGCCACAAGGAAATTAGCTGTGCCAAAGCATTCATCAAGTGTCTCTTTCTTCCCATGAGGGGAAGTAGAACTAATAAAGCCGTAGTTCCTCGAAAGTTTTGGTCACATGCACAAGGGTGATATCGAAGCCGCTACACTTGAAATAACGGTTGCAGAGGGGCAGATTTTCATTCGTTCATTCGCTCTTTCAGTCGTTCATTGATTAATTGATAAACTAATTAATTCCTTTATTAGTTGACTCATTTTCAAAGCAAGTTATTCCTGTCGGATCTTAGAAAGACATCAATCATTGATATTCATCCATGTGGAAAAGTCAGCAATTCGGGCAAATCGGGATGCGGGGAGGGGGGAGAGTGGCGCAGTTGGTTAAAGGTTGCTTTGCTCATCTGAGTCTCAGGTTCACACGCAACGCGCGGTGTAAATTCTCTCTTATTCACTGTCAGTTCCCTGGAACAAGGAATTCACCTGTCTCACTGTGCAACCAGAGCAAAAAATAGCAGATCGTCGATCTGCGATTAATAGAGACAACGCTATGCCGTGGTGTTGTCAGTCAAAGCGTGAAGAACATGCGCCATACCGTTTGATGTTTGCGCTTCGTAGTTTGTCGTACCTCACCCACCGCAGAGTTGACTAAGGGTGTAAGACATAAGCATAACATGATTAAAAAATTTGTATACTGATCTGATTTAATTGACGGTAACTTGGTGAGGGATCAACCTCTAGAAATGAATGTGCATCAAACAGCATGGTCGTTGTTTCGGCGCTCTTCCATGACCACACCAAAGCAGCTTACCGTACCTGATATGCGCAGATCAGCGTTAAGCTACCGAAGCACAGTGGGGTAAATTCCGTGCTCAGACAACTCAGCTGCTAGTAAGAGAAATACTACGCCACGCATGGAATTTGAATCGATTACTGTCAACGTGGGAAACAGACTGTATCTTTTGTGTCAACAT